TCTTCGCTCTCTCTCTCTCTCTCTCTTCTTCTCTCTCTCTCTCTCTCCTCTCCTCTCTTCTCTCTCTCTCTGTCTCTTCTCTTCTCTCTTCTCTTCTCTCTGCTCTCTCTCTTCTCATTCTCTCTCTCTTCTCTCTCTTCTCTCTCTCTCTCCTCTCTCTCTCTCTCTACTCTCTCTCTCTCTCTCTCTCTTCGTCTCCTCTCTACTCCGCTCTCTCTTCCTCATCCTCTCTCTCTCTATCTCTACTCTCTCCCTCCTCTCTTCTTCTCTCTCTCTCTCTTTTCTGTCTGTCTCTGCTGTCTCTGTCTGTCTCTCTCATCTCCTCTCTACTCTCTCCTTCCTCTCTCTCTTCCATCTCTCTTCTTTCTCTCTCCATCCTCTTCTCTTCTCTTCTCCTCTCTCTCTCTCTTCTCCTTCTCTCTCCTCTCTCTCATCTACTCGCTCCTCGTCTCTCTCTCTCTATCTCTTCTCCCCTCTTCTCTCTCTCTACATCTCACTCTCTCTCTATCTCTGTGTCTCTCTCTCGCTTCTCTCTGTTCCTTCTCTATGTCTCTCCGTAGTCTGTGATCTCTCTATCTCTCCTCTTCTCTCTCTCTCTCTCTTCTCTCGTCTCTACTCTCTCTCTCTCTCTCTCTCTCATCCTCTCTCTCTCTCTCTCTCTCCTCTCTGCCTCTCTATACTCGCTCTCTCTCTCTCTCTCTTCTCTCTCTCTCTTCTATTTTCTCTCTCTCTCATCTCTCTCTCTCTCTCTCTCTCGCCTCTCTCTCCCTCTCATCGCTCTCTCTCCTCTCTCTCTCTCCTCTCTCTCTCTCTCTGCCCTCTCTCTCTCTCTCTCTCTCTACGCTCTCTCTCGCTCTCTCCTCTCTCTCGTCTCTCTCTCTCTCTACTTCCTTCCCTCATCTCCTGTACTTTGTCTGTCCTCTGTCTGTCTCTCTAGTTCTGGACCTGTCCTGTCCCTCTCTCTGTCTCTGTCTGTCTGTCTGTATGTCTGTCTCTCTGTTCTCGGTCTACTCTCGCTGTGTCTCTCTCTGTCGTCTCTCTCTCTGTATTTCCTCTCTCTCTATCCTCTCTCTCTCCTCTCTCTCTCTCTATCTCCTCATCTCTCTCTCTGGTCTGTCTCTCTTGTCTGTCTCTCTCTCTCTTCTGTCTTCTCTCCGCTGTCTCTCTCTCTGGCTCCTCTCTGTCTCTCTCTCATCTTCATCTTGTCTCTCTGCTCTGTCTCTCTCTCTGTCTCTCTCTCTCTGCTACGCTTCTCTGTCTCTCCTCTCTCCTACTCTCTCTCTCTCTCTTCTCTCTCTCTCTCTCTCTCCTATCTCTCTCATCTCCTCTTGTCTGTCTCCTGCCTTCTCTCTCTGTCTCTCTCTGTTCTGTCTGTCTCTGTCTCTGTCTCTCTCTGTCTCTCTCTCTATATCTCCTCTCTCTCTCTCTCTCCTATTCTCCTATCTCTCTCTCTCTCTCTCCTATCTCTTCGCTCTCTTCTCCATCTACTCTTCTCTCTCTCTATCTACTCTCGCTCTCTACTCTCTCTCTCTCGTCTCTCTCTCTCTACTATCTCTCTCTATCTCTCCATCTCTCCCTCTTTCTCTCTCTCTCTCTCTCTCTCTCTCTCTATTCTATTGCTCTCTCTATCTCTCTCTCTCTCTCTTCTACTTGTTCTACTCTCCCCACTCTCTCTTGTCTCTCTCTCTCTATCATCTCTCTCTTGTCTATCCCTCTCTCTCTCTACTCTCTATTGTCTCTCACTCTCTCTATTGTCTCTCTCTTTCTCTCTCGTGTCTCTCTCTCTCTCTATGTCTCTTCTCTCTATCTACTTCTCTCTCTCTCTATCTCTCTAGCTCTCCTCTATTGTATCTCTCTGTTATCATGTGTCTCTCTCTGTCTCTCTCTGTCTTTTCTATCTGTCTCTTTCTCTGTCTCTGTCTCTTCGTCTCTGTCTCTGTCTCTCTCTATCTTTCTCTCTCTCTCTCTCTCGTCCTCTATCTCTCCGCTCTCTCTCTTCTCTCTCTCTCCTCTTATTCGATCTCTTCTCTTCTCTCTCTCGCTCGCTTGTTTCTCTCTCTCTCTCTTGTACTCTCTCTCTCTCTCTCTCCACTCTTGTTCCTCTCTCTCTCATCTCTCTCTTGTCTCTCTTTCTGCCTCTTGTATCTCTCTCTGCCTCTTGTCTCTCTCTCTCTCTCTCTTCTCTCTCTCTCTCTTGTTCTCTCTCTCTCATCTTGGTTCTGTCCGCTATCCTCGTCTGTTGGTTCTCTCTCTCTCTCTTGTCTATCTCTCTTCTCTCTCTCTTTGTTTCTCTCTCTGTACTCTCTTCTCTCTTGTACCTCTTTCTCTTCCTGTCTCTCGTGTCTCTCTCTCTCCTCTCTTCTCTCTCTTGTCTCTCCTCTCCCTCTTGTCTATCTCTCTCTTCTTTGTCTCTCTCTCTCTATCTCTCATCATCCTGTCATCTCTTTCTTTCTCTTGTCTCTCTCTTCTATCCCTTGTTCTCTCTCTTCCCTCCGCTCTCTCTTCTCTCCTCTCTCTCTCTCCATTATCTTGTCTATCTTTCTCTATCTTTCTGCCCCTTCTCTTCTTGTCTTCTCTCCTCTCTTGTCTTCCCTCTCTATCTTGTCTCTCCTCTCCTCTCTTCCTCTCTCTCTCTCTCTTGTCTCGCTCTCTCTTGTCTCTCTCTCTCGATTGTCTCTCTCTTCTCCCTTGATCTCCTCTCACCTCCATCTCTTTCTCCTCTCTCTCTCCTCTCTCTCTCTCGCTCTCTCTCTCTCTCTCTATCTCGTTCTCTTCTCTCTCTCTCTATCTCATCATTCTCTCCCTCCTATTGTCTGTCTCTCTCTTACTCTCTCTTCTTGTACTCTCTCTGTGTCTCTTCTATTCTTGTCTCTTCTCTCCCCATTTATCCTCTCTCTCTCTCTCTCTGTCTCTCATCTCTCATCTTGTTCCTCTCTCTCTCCTCTGTCTCTCTTGTCTCTCTCTCTCTCCATCTCTTGTATCTCTCTCCTCTCTCGCTCTTGTTCTCTCTCTTCTCTCTCCTCTCCTGTCTATCTCTAGTCTCTCTCTCTCTATTCTCTCTCTCTCTCTATCTCCTGTCTGTATCTATCTATCTATACTCTCTTCTATCTCTCCTATTTTTGTGACTGACCTGGGTCAGCGCCCTGGCTGATACCCTGCATACAAGGATTGGTCAGACTGAGAAAAAGACCTACTTGCCTGCCTCATTGACTACAGTGCAGTATCAGTACAGTGGTACACTGTTTCCCCCCAGAGAACTTAGGAGGGAGAGACTGAGGCCCAATATAGGGAACACCCCTTCCTTGGCCCTCAGCCCTTGCATAAACTAAGGTTGCAGGGTCCTTCTCTCTCTTTCCTTTTCTTTCTCTTCTTGATTCCCTCCTTCTATTGACTTATCCAAATTGTTAACTCATATTTACCCTTTTTGGCACTATAATGCTGTGTTTTGACCATTGACCATTCTGGAAATCCATAGACATTACCTTACTGAACCAAAAAAACTTTACCTCAGGGCTTTGCCCCAAAGCCCCACCCTATTGGTATATTTTGTTTTTGTTGCTAATGACCTTAGATGTTAATGCAGCAGAGAATTTTCAATAAATAAATAAATATTCCCCTGAGAGGCCGCTGTAAGTCCTACACCGATACTGCCAAGATTACA